CGCGCACCTCTGATAAGAACGAAAGCAAGTACAACGATGATAATGACTTAATTAGTTTTTAGATAGCGATGTCTGCCACGTTCTGATCCTTCTCGACGGCAAAATTATTCAAAGTTATAATAATGAACTGAATTGCTTGCATTATTCATTTCATACGCAGACCTGATGCGGGAACTCAGCTTGATGGTAGAATGACGTCATATTAAGTTTGTATATTGAGTTAACACCTTCATTGAACGTTCAGCTTCTTTTACGCTGCGTAGGCAGCGCAGAAAGGACAAGAAGCATCTAAAACTGAACTGAAATGACCATTTAAAGATGGGAGACAACGTAGTGTACCCACAAATCGCCCAGATACTGTCTACCCACACGGCAGTTCCGAAAAAGATCCAGGCCTCCAAAACACCTTCTTGTCTTGCAGTCTTGTCATGCGGTGTGATCTCACAGCACACAACATTTTATGAAAAAGGACAATAGAATCTCCAATAACGAGATTGTTTCAGCTCTTCATGATGGGCAAGTTTATTACGACTCCGTTCGGACCCCTCACGTTATCAACATTAACGCATTCCTTTGAAAAAGCTGCTGGTGCTGAACGCAGCCAATACTGGGCAGTAGATATAGCTAAGCTGAGGTTGAAGGTTGTGCACTTTGTGAGATGGTGTTCAACTGACGATAAAGTAATCCGCCCCTCCTGCCTCACCCACCGTTTCATCCTGGCCTCTCGTAACGCCTCGTCTCGCCAGGAGGTCAACACGGTCGCCAGCCATGAGTCGGATCAGTGCCGCTTCGGGAGCCCCTCCGGACCCGTTAAAAAAGCCTTAATCAAGGAACCCTTTGCAAGGTAAGCCTGTATTCTGGAGCTTTCCCAAATAGACGCATCATTGCCCCCTTACATCCTCCCCCTGATCACGCAGCTTTGACAATGGTCATTGCTAGCCAATACCGCTATAGTTAAATGAAACAGAAGTGATAGTGAAGTTATGAAATAGCACTCTAAAAAACGCAGCCGGTAGATATGCAAACACAACGCCATTGTTCTGTTCACACGCATTCGAATTCTGCTTCGTTGAAAGCAAATTTATTCACAGAGATTGCTTCACTGAATATGGATTATTGACATTTTAACACGCCTATCAAAACATAAAAGTGCAGCGTGTTATTCCAAAAACAGAATTAGTTTTGATATCAGTCTTGCAATTTTGCTCAGTCCCGTTCACATAAAGACACAAAGACATGGAGATATCTGGCGAGCAAAGAGCCACAAGGACCCATCAAGGTTGGCCTACATCAGTTCCGCACACATCCTCGAAACAAAGTTTACAACCTAACCTGCATAAATCTAGCTATAAATGAGATACTTAGACCAAAGATCTTGTCCGAATAGTTTTAATGTTGCGGGAGAGCAACTTTACACGACTTCGTGTGACGGCCTGTTTCAATGAATTATCTCTTTTTCACTAAGCGACATCTGCGTCTTTATAATTCTACTTCTACCTTTTGCCAAATGAAACTGGTTTCCTCTATGTCTCGGTCTAATTTTCATTGTTCCATGAACATCTACCTTCTCTATACCTTTCATAATTTGAGCAAGTCTATTAGATCCCCTCTAAATCTAAGATATTTCAGCAAATAGCTCCAAGTTTCTGAGCCTCTCCTTATATTCTAGTCGCCAACAACATTTACCATCCCCATTCCTTTTGCTGTACTACTCCCAGTCTTCTGACATATTTTTGGGGGCATGGGGACCAAGCCGGTACAAACACTCTGGGTGCGGTCTGACATAACTAAGTGCAATATTTTGAAAACATTCCTACCTTGTAATGGATATTCCTGTCAATACGTCCGTGCACCTGAGGTGCCTTGCTCCTAGCAGCCCCGCGTTGCGTTCAGACTTCAAATCCGTAGAAATAACGACCCCTAAGCCGCTTTCTGGTAATTGGTGGTTATGAGAAAAATGACTAACTCCATGGAAGGTGCGATAACTCAAGCATGTATGGAACTTGTTCCTACGTACTAAGACTGTCAGACACAGTAATAACTCGCAGTGAAAACATGATCACGGTCCCTTGAGGCCAGCACCCTCCTTTCAGCCCCTGCCCCCTCCCCTCCCCCCCCCCCCACTGGCCAGTGTTGACACTAACCGTATTTAACCAGCCTAGAAAAACCATCATTAAGCTAGCTCCCTGCCGCCTTCCTTATATGAAAGTTGGGGACCACCTTCATATATGATGCGCTTTGCTTGTATGCTGATATTATGCAACGCCATGGCAGCATTGGCCTAAATTTCAAGCGTCTAGGGCATGCCAGTCACTGACGTAGATAGTTTTTATCGACGGAATGTCCGACCAAAACGTGGTTGAACATGGCATTTGTTCAACGCTGCTCTTTTTAAGAGCCTTCTGACATGTGATTTTCTTATTTCTTTGCTCACCGTTTCAGGGACTTTCGCCCTGGCACACACGTGGCGTTTTGATTTGACCGTGGTCACTCTTTTATACTGGTCTTTCGGTTTGAAGTGTTCGTAGCCCATGATCAAGCGGGTTGCATAACTGGGTGGCTTTGTCAGCCACTTGGACGACACGTCCTCGTGTTTCGACATGCAGGTGGTACTACTACACCAAACAGTCTTCATAGGCCACTGACCTCAATTGGGCAGTAGTCCTCACCTTTAAACACATTCACACCAGACGTTTAATTCGTGGTTTTATGCCCGCCTTAGAGAACCGGGTGCTGTGACAACCAGCGATCCAGTGCCAGCGCTCCCACCCATATCTTGGTTTCGTGGCAAGCCAGCAGCAACAGCGAGTTACGAGTGATCGCTGACCCGATAGGAGCGCGGATCTTGTCCAAAGTGGTCCCCGTGAATGCCGCCTTCAATCGCATAGGATATCGGATGGTGATTTTTACGTCTGTCTGGCAATCTATAGTCCATATAATACTGAGTTTTCGAGGGGTTGCGTGAAATCACAGCGTGCCACGTGATATGGAAGTTGTAGGATGGTGACGAAGCCATTCCGTGCTGGGATGAACAATTGAATTATCAGCGCAACGCTCATGTTGGTACATTTGGAGCAGGTGAGAGTACGATAAATACACGACTAAAGCTTGGCTTCTATGGTACGTTGAATTTGCAATCAGGAAATTAAGGTCTATCAGGGGTGTTAGCCTTCTAAAATGTATTTTCAACAATTCTACCAATGTAGTCTATACATTTCCTACATTAATATTCTATACATTCTATACATTAATAAGATATATTCTATACACTCCAGGCTACGCAAATCGAATATTAACATGGAAAATGTTTAATGCAGAATCCTAATGCAGAGAAAACTGCATCACTGTTTGCGCCTTTTACCATCGTCTAATGCCTTGCTTTTACGTAATACACATGCAAGAAGGGGATGACATTGAGCAGCTCTCACATGAGACCTATACAACAATACAAGCTGCGTAATAGTCTTTTCGTCGCGCTAGAAAGGAGTCGCGTGCCCAGCAACAATTTGGGCCATGTGCAATCCCATCCATTGAATATTTGTCTTCGGGAGCAAAGTGTATTTCAACAGTCTGCGTTTCACTGCTTCATAGGACTAACTGCCATTTCATTTCGCTTCCGACAGGTCAGGTCGCCCTCCCTCCCCAGTGCGGACCATCGCCAGGTCACAGCTGACCTCCCTGCAGCCCATCGGTCCAACCACTGATACCAGAGCCCGGGTCGACCGGACGGCGCGTGGATGAAGGCCACGCCGCCGAGCCGCAGGCTACAGACGAGAGCGATATAAGCCGACAGGTGCCCACCGCAGACCAGCACTCCTCGACGCACAACCATGCAGATGGTAAGTACGCTCGCGCCTCGGACAGGGGAGCGCTCTTGGAGGGAGCGCTATGGCGAGGACCTTAGCGATGGTCGGATGCTATTAGGTCCATACAGTGTGTACATGCACCTTTCTTGCCACTTGCTCCACATAGCTACTGCTTCGCGGGGAATGTGTGGAGTGCGTATTGCACAGAACGTGCCTTGTGTATTGTTTGTAATGCGATCTGAGTGGGCTGTTTGTCGCTGCAGCTAGTATGAACCTACATGGAAGTTGAGGCTTATGTTTTGTATAGAGCGTCAGTGACAGATTTTGGGCAATTCGCGATTCCTAGGGTTGAAAACACGTGTCTTTAAATGTCGTTTCGCTGTTCGTGTTCGGAAGAGGAAAATAATATCATTTTTCTCTTGCTCAACTTAGCCAATGTTTTCAGTTTGCTGTCAGCAAGCTTTTGCTGAATGCATTTTCTCACCTTTCCAGTTCGTATTCGCCCTTTTGGTGGCCGCTGCTGCGGCCGCTCCGCAGTTCAGTGATTTCAACCAGGACTTCAACAGCCAACAGTTTGTCAGCAGTGGCCAGCCGGAAGTGCGGATCCTTAGTCAGAAGTCCGATCAAGATCAAGTTGGGAACTACGAGTACAGCTACGAACAGGACAACGGACAGCGGGTGAGGAGGATGTGTGATGACAACATAAGCACACAATGTATTCAACAATTGAAAAAGGACATCTTGCCTGGATCAGTGCTGCCAGTAACCATGTTTCATCGTGCATCTTTAACCCCCTATCCTTCTGTGAACCAATTGCAGACGAAGGTATCAGTTTGGGCTCTTCGCCAAAACTAGTAACCAAATTGCCAACTATAAACTGCCATAGTTACTGCGAAACTAGGATGACCCCTCTCTGCCATCCCAATGTTCAACTGTAAAACACTTCATGAACTGGGCTACGATGACGCTAGACCCCAACATCCTTTGACAATTGCTTCTCGCACCCTAACGCTCTTGGTCTTGCGTTTAAAAAAATCGGGAATGTGGCCGAATGGTACAATGAAGCGTATCAAGGCATTGACGTGTGGTCACGGTGTCAGCAGAGTTTCCTGTACAGTGTGGTGTAACGCATTGATCGCTTCTTCCAGATGCAAGAGGTGGGACGAGTGCAGCCAGGACCCGAGCCAGAGACCGGTAGTATCTCCATGGAGGGCAGCTACGAGTTTGTCGGCAACGACGGCAACACGTACCAGGTCAGCTACGTGGCCAACGAGAACGGCTTCCAGCCTCAGGGCGCCCACCTGCCGCAGGCTCCAGCTCAGATCCCCGAGTACGAGCAGCTGAGGCGGGACTACCCGCAGCTGTTCTGGGCCGAGAACGGAGGAGCCGGCATTATTGTCAACGACCAGCAGCAGTTCAACCAGCAACAGTTCGACCAGCAGCAGGGGCAACAGTTCTTCTTTAATTGATTTACCTGGCAAATTCAACAGAAGACCAGAAGAATGTCAAGCAAGCGCACTATTGACCTGAACGGCATGTGGACCGGCGCGCGGCTTGTGGCGATGAAGCATGAACATCGTGCGTGTGTCGCGCTAGTGTACGCCAGACGTCATGAGAAGCCGCATTTTAGTCGCGTTACGCTGGTGTAGCAATATGTGATGCGTTGAAATCGCATTGGTTACCGGTACAATAGTGTTCCCATCAGTCCAATGGACGCGGTGGCCCCCACTAAATGTGCTATTGTCTCGTTGAAATACAAGCTGTGCGATACAGGTCTACGTATTGTGCAGCGATGAAATCTGTGAAAACGAAAGTAGCCTCTTGATACGACCTCTCACGTCATGGCAGTCTTATTACAGCACTACGCATACGTTGAAAACGCTAAACGTCATATGTACGTGCCTTACGGGTGCATGATACATGCATATACATATGTATATATATATATCTATATATATTATATATATAGTATGTATATCTATATATAATATCTAGACATATAATATAGAATATTTATATAGATATTATATGTATATATATATATATTACATATATAGAAGGAAATAAAAAAGGTTTTAAGTTGAATTGCTGAACAACAAACCATATAAATCTTGAATAGCCTTAATTACACAAACCATGCATATATACGGAGGTTGTCTCCAACAAAATATAAATGGCTTGAGCTGTCCTCTTCACCATAATTGCAGCCAGAAAAATAAAAGCCAGATCTTAAAGGTGCAGCCTGTTGATTGTTTTGTTTAAGTGCACTCTACCTACCATAAGCTTTGAGGGAATTTTAGTGCACCTCCTTCCTGTCAGTCAACAGGCCTATACCAACACCAAACACAGAAATGGTTCAATAATTTATTTTTAATGATGCCACTGAAAAGCGAGTGTGGCACACCAATCTAACCGCATATTGTCAAAACTTCATATTGGTATTACATGTTTTCGGTATCCATATTGTACAAAAAGGTTTCCCAAATGATGTATTACTTGCGTGCATCAACACACCATGTAAACACACCCGATGCCTTCATGGGGCCACCAATTCAATATGTTTAGTGGACACTGTCTCTTGAAGCAACCAACCGGCACACCTGTCTCTGAAGCACGCCCCGCCCCCCCCCCCCCCCTCCCCTCCCCCAGCCACGCATAATATTAATTGGCTCAGGTGCTACCGCAACGAAATGTTGTCAATCTTGCCGATTTTCATTGTTTTTCAAACATAAAACAACGAAATACCACAGCCATGCTCTCGCCACACTGCGTGCTGACGTTGATATTCCACTGCGAGGTGCGAGTTGCAATGAACGGAACAACTTCACACGATGAAAGAGCAAGAGTTCAGGATCTTAGTATGTTCAGTTCCCATGCCCCATTCACAACCATACACAGTGCAAATATCGTTGGACAATGCACTGTGTAAAATGGGGTATGCTTTATCCGCATGCATTCGCCAAGGAACGTAGCCAGCTTCTATTCATATTTCTCATATTCACACCACTCAACCATTGAATGCTGCATTCAACTTAACCTACACTTACCAGTTCGTCACAATCCGTCCGGTTAACCCACCGAGACACCAACCCCGATGATTGACAATGCCGCATGCCGTAAGTTGCGCCTCTGACGGCAAACTGCGCATTTCTGATAAAAATGATAGTAAATACAACGATGGTGATGACTTCATTAGTTTTTAGATAGCGATATCTGCCACATTCTGATCCTTTCGATGGCAAAATTATTCAAAGTTATAATAATGAACTGAATTACTTGTATTATTCATTTAATAAACAGAGCTCATGAGGAAACTCAGCTTGACGGTAGAATGACGTCATATCAAGTTTATATGTTGAGTTGACGCCTTAATTGAACGTTCAAATTCTTTTACGCTGCGTAGGCAGCGCAGTAAGGACAAGAAGCATCTAAAACTTAACTTAAATGGCCATTTAAAGATGGGAGACAATGTAGTATGCCCACAATTCGCCTACATACTGTCTACCCACACGGCAGTTCCGAAAAAGTTCTAGGTCACCAGAACACCATTTGTGTTGCAGTTTTGTCATGTGGTGCGATCTCACCGCACTCAACATCTTGTGAAAAAGGGTAATAGAACCGCGAACAACGAGGGTGCTGCAGTCTCTTCTCATGATGGGAAGTTTATTACGACTCTGTTGGGAACCCCTCACGTCATCAACATTAACACATCTTCCTTTCAAACAGCTACTAGTGTTGAGCGCAGCCAATGCTGGGTAGTAGATACAGCTAAGCTGAGGTTGAAGGCTGTGCACTTTGTGAGATGGTGTTCAACTGACGATAAGGTGATCCGCCCCTCTTTCCTCACTCACCGTTTCATCCTGGCATCTCGTGACGCCTCGCATCCCCAGGGGTCAGCAAACGGTCGCCAGCCATGAGTCGGATCAGTGCCGCTCTTCCGGAGCCCCCCCGGAGCGGTTAAAAAGGCCTCAAACATGGAACCCTCTGCAAGGTAAGCCTGTATTCCAGAGCTTTCCCCAATAGGACGCATTGTTGCCCCCTCACTCGTCCCTCGCCCGGATCACGTAGCTTTGACAATGGTCATGGTTGACCGACACCGCAATATTAAGTGAAACAGAAGTGATATTGAAGTTATGAAATAACACTCTAAAAACGCATCCAGTAGATACGCTAACACAAACGCCATTGTTCTGTTTACACGCATTCGAATTCTGCTTCGTTGAAAGCAAATTTATTCAAAGACATTGCTTCACTGCATTTGGATTATTAACATTTTAACACGCCTAGCGAGGCATAAAAGAGCAGCGTGTTATTCTAAAAACAGAATTAGTTTTGATATTAGTCTTGCAATTTTGCTCAGTCCCATTAACATAAAGACACAAAGACATGAAGATATCTGACGAACAAAGAGCCATCGTTCCAACAAGGACCCATCGAGGTTGGCCTACATCAGGCTCCACACACATTCTCGACACTAATTTTACAACATGACCTGCATAAATTTAGCGATAAATGAGATATTTAGACCGATAGATCTTGCCCAACTGGCTTTTAATGCTGCGAGAGAGGAACTTCATATGACTTCGTTTGACAGCCTATTTCAATGGATTACCTCTTTTTCACTAGGCGACATCTGCGTCTTTATAATTCTACTCCTACCTTTTGCAAAATGGAACTGGTTTTCTCCGTGTCTCTAATTTCCATTGTTCCAATGAAGATCTACCTTCTTTATACCTTTCACAATCTTGAGCAAGTCTAGTAGATCCTCTCTAAATCTAAGATAATTGAGTAAATACAGTTCATAGGCTCTGAGCCTCTCCTTATATTCTAGTCCCCAATAACATTTATCATCCCCATTCCTTTTTGCTGTACTATTCCCAGTCTGCTGACACCTTTTTGGGAGCATGGGCACCAATCCGGTATACAATACTCTAGGTGTGGCCTGACATAGGCTAAGTGCAACATTTTGACAACATTCCTAACCCTGTATTGGATGTTCCTGCTAATACATCCGTGCATCTGAGGTGCCTTGTTCCCAGCAGCCCCGCGTTGGATTTCAGACCTTAAATCCATAGAAATAACGACCCCTCTAAATCGTTTTCTGGTAATTGGTGGTTATAAGAAAAATGACTAACTACACGAAAGGTGAAATAACTCAAGCATGGATGGAGCTTGTTTCTACGTACTAAAACTGTAAGACACAGCAATAACTCTCAGTGAAAACATGCGCACGGTCCCTTGAAGCCAGCACCCTTCTTTCGGCCCTCTGCCCCCTCCCCTCCCCCCCCCCCCCCCATTGGCCAGTGTTGACATTAACCGTATTTAACCAGCCTGGAGAGCCACCATTAAGCTAGCTCATAGCAGCCTTTCTCATCTGAAATTTGGGAACCGCATTCGTATATGGTGCGCTGGCTTGTATACTGATATTCGGCAACGTTCATAGCAGCATTGACGCAAATTTCAAGCGTCTAGGGCATGCCAGTCACTGGCGTAGACTGTTTTTATCGACGGAATGTCCGACCAAAACGTGGTTAAACATAGCATTTGTTTAACACGGCTCTCTTTTAAAGCCTTCTGACATGTGGTTTTCATATTTCTTTGCTCGCCTTTCCAGGGACTTGCGTTCTGGCAAACGCGTGGCGATTTGATTTGGCCGTGGTCACTCTTTTATACTAGTCTTTTGGTTTTGAGTGTTCGTAGCCCATGATCAAGCGGATTGCATAACTGGGTGGCTTTGTCAGCCACTTGGACGACACGTCCTCGTGTTTCGACGTGCAGGTGGTACTATTACACCAAACAGTCTTCATAGGCCACTGACCTGAATTGGCCAATAGTCCTCACCTTTAAACACATTCATACCAGACGTTTAATTCGTGGTTTTATGCCCGCCTTAGGGAACCGGGTGATGTGACAACCAGCGATACAGTGCCAGCGACCCCGTCCAGATCTTGATTTCTTGGCAAGCCAGCAGCAACAGCGAGATACAAGTGATCGCTGACCTGATAGGAGCGCGGATCTTGACCGAGGTGGTCCTCGTGAATACCGCCTTCAATCGCATAGGATATCGGATGGTGTTTTTTTCATGTCTGTCTGGCAATATATAGTCCATAAAATCCTGAGATTGCGAAGGGTGGCGTGAAATCACAGCATTCCACGTGATGTGGAAGTTGTAGGTTAGTGACGAAGACATCGCGTGCTGGGATGAACAACTGCATTCTAAGCGCAAGGCTCATGTTGGTGCATTTGGAGCAGGTGAGAGCACACTAAATACACGACTAAAGCATGGCTTCAATGGCGCGTTCAATTTCCAATAAGGAAATTAAGGTCTATCAGAGGTGTTATCCTCCTAAATATATATTTTTAACCACTCCAGGAATGTATTCCACACATTCCGTATATCGATACCCTATACATTCTATACATTAATAAGATATATTTTATGCATTCCGGGCTACGCAAATCGAATATTAACTTGGAAAATGTTTAATCCACAAGGCTAACGCAGAGAAAACCGCATCATTGTTTATGCCTCCTTTC